CACAGAGAGAAAAATGTTTGGTATTTGTAACTATAATTATATATTACTATAATTATGATTATTACTGCTATAATAATAATAACAGTAACTATATATATAGTTCCAGCAACAAATGTATATAACTGGCAACCTAAAATGACTATAATTATAGTTGTTATAACCATAAAATAGTTGAAATTACCATAAAAATATGGTTGTCCCGAAATATAACTATAAAATTATAGTCACTTGAACCATTTTTATGGTAATTTCAACTATTTTATGGTTATAACAACTATAATTATAGTCATTTTAGGTTGCCAGTTATATACATTTGTTGCTGGAACTATATATATAGTTACTGTTATTATTATTATAGCAGTAATAATCATAATTATAGTAATATATAATTATAGTTACAAATACCAAACATTTTTCTCTCTGTGTTCTAAGTATTTCTGAAAAATGTTCCAATTCATATAAAAATTCTTCGCACGCGCGCACGACTTATTTCCGTAATTTCGATTTCGCTAAAATCGCGCAATCGAACGTAATGACATTGCTTCATCACGTCGGCTCTATAATCGGAAGGCGTGTTACGTACGTACACGTGCACACAGACAAACGCGTGCGTCTGTGCGCAAGAAGGCACAGCACGAGGCGATGAAGCGAAGCGATTAAGCGACAGGGTAGCGATATCACGTGATTTTCCCCTAGGAACGAAAACGCTGTTCGCCTTGCTTTTATTTTTTGCACTCAGCACCTTCGCTTTCTCTCATTTCAACGCCCAAATATATATCTGTCCTATTTTAAGTGCAAAAATTTGGGGGGGGGGATTTCAAGCAACGCGAACAGACCTACTTCGCGTGAACGTGAACGCAAACAGTCAATCGTGCAGCTTTTTCCCTAGGAAGCCGTGAAAAGTGAAAATCTTTCGCATGTATGCGTGTGTACGTACGCACGGGAACACAAATGCCTTGCCATGCTCTTTCGTGCCTTCTCGCTCCTTCTTATGCCTTTTCCGAAACGCGTGCAACTTTATATGCCTGGTTTATGCTTCGGTCTTAACCCTAAAATCCTAAAATTCAGCCAATGGAATACAGATTTCAGTTAGGACCAATTAGGACTGGCAGCTTTATTGGCTGAATTTTAGGATTAAGACCGAAGCATAAACCAAGCATTAAATGGCAAGGCTTTGCGTCTCCATGTGTGCATATACATACATAAAAAATTTCATTTTTTACGTTTCCACTCTAGAGAAGAAAAGTTACGTGATCGATCGTTTGCTTGCACTTTTGCATTCGGACTTCTTTGCTTTTTCTCTCTTCAACGCATAAAATTTTCAAGGATTTCAAGCGAACACCTATAAAGGATAAAATGACATTTGGTTGTCTGTGAATGCTTTCTAACAAAAGACACAGATGATACGGTGTAACACAGTCATTACATCATTGTTTGCAGTGTTAACAAAGATGAAATCCCTGAGTCATGTTATACTACGGTCTAGTTTACACAGTGCGTTCAGTCGGCGACCTATACTCTACATCTGATCTAAATTTGACCTGAACATGATAAATAAACTGTTTACATCGTCACGACCATCGTGTTTAAGTATATTGTAGCGTGTAAATCGTGGACTAAACGTAACGAGTGTAAATTAGCTCTGTCTCTTGCTGATAAGCACCATGTGTCTCCCAAAAGGAAAGCAGCCTTCGACACTCTTCGATCGACTTCGAAGGAAGTTCACGCGGAGTCGGAACTCCTCATTTTCGCTCTCCGCCCGCGGATCAATCGCAGAGCTAGAGAGAAAGAGAGAGATTAGAGTCAGTTGAAGGATTACACGACCGCGCGAGAAACGTCACGTTTCCTGAAGGAATTGCCACCCGAGAAGGTCGAACGATTCCAAGTCTGCGTCGTGCGGGATGATGGACCGATCAACGGGTATCCTTCGTGAGTTTCCGAGATGAAAGTGTTTTCTAAAGTCCTGGGAAGGACGCGACGCGAAGGAATCCGAGGAATCGTGGAACTCGAAGAGAGGAAAAAGGCGAGGAGGAGGAGAGCAAAGGAAAGGATTTCTCTGGGAGAGACAGGCTCTCAAGGAGAATCCTCTTGCCCTTCTGACTCACCCAGAACTTGGTACCGCAGAACTGGTCCATGTCCATTCCGACCGTTTGATTCTGATCCATACTGACACATTTAAGATCCACCGGCGAGCAGGCTCTCGTGCGAAACTGAATCGTTCACAGCAGTACCGCATACAGTACCGCACCTGGCTGCACCGCGCACAAGCCACCGAGAGATCGGCGAGGAGTGCGACCGATCTTTCTCGCTCCAGGAATTACACTGTCCCTGACGGACCCTGACTGTCCCTCCACCCTGCGGCACGCACGACGGCGAGACCGAGACAGGCACGGGGAAATACACGCGACAGAGAGGAAGCCCACCATACAGCACACGCGGCACCCGCTACGAGCTACGAGCGAGTTATTCCAGTCGTACCGTCGCCGTCACCAACCGTCACTGGCCGTCAGTATTCCGCTTCTGCAGCTCTGCGCTCTGCGCTCTGCAGTCTGCAACTCTGCACTCGTCTGCACTGCTCTCGAGCTCTCTGAAGCTGGCTGCGAGAGCCGAACAAGTACAACCACCGTTGCCCGCCGTGCCTCACCGCGATTATGCCCGATTATTCGGCCAGATTATGTAATAAATATGTACCGCGCTCAAGCTGGCTCAAACACACACAAACGTAATCTGGCGAGTCCGATCTCTCCGGTCCAAACTACTCCAAACAGTCTAAAGACAGTCCGGGTTGCCGGCTGTCCGAGAATACCGAGTGAAAGTATCCGTGTATTCTCGCAACACCACCCACCATCATCGCTGTATCCATCCGCGTATCATCGACGGCGTGACGCCGGTGACAGAAAAGCGCGACCAATCACCGCGCGCGCCGCGAACCGCGCGGGAAAATTGCTGACGCCGCGTCTCGTGACTACATTCACGTCGATCCGCGAAGCCCGTCCCACCGTCCGTGTCGCGTGTTCACGGGTCGACCCCGTCATTTCGATACCTAGAATTTTCGATACCCAGAAACTTCTCGCGTAATGGAAATTACTGACGGTCCACGTTTTTTATCCTCTCAAAGGATATACGAATAAACGCAACGGGGAGTCATTTCAATTCTGAATTATATGGCTCGATTTTACAAGAAAAAAGAATTTTGTGTAATTCGCTGTCCCTGATTTAATCTTTTTTTTAATACATTAAACAATGGGTTAATAAATTTATCGAATAATGTTAATAAATCTATTAATAGCAGAGTACATATTGTAATAATAATTATTAAAATAATCGGAGTTTGATCAAAGAGTCACCTTCTCCCTTAAATAAAACCCCTAGTCCTCCGTTCGATGCAATATTCACCTCTATGGCGGAGGCAACATATCAAAGTTCAGTTGAATCGTTTGGTCAGGAGATCGTTTGAACTTCATCAAGAAACACGATAGTGTTTATCTCGCGTCAAGTTGTGCAAAACGATAAGCGTAATATTGCACGTAATGATATAATAAATAACGTTGCCACGTGAATGGCAACATTAGCAGATTGACATTTATCGAACTAATTCGTCTAATTTTAGCATCAATATAATGTTGACGATTGTGTTTTACTTTCTAAAATTTAGAATAAATCTCCGATTTAATTGCCATTGCTGCACAAACAGAATTATAATAATAAAAATACGCCCTTAAAGAAATCAACTATTAATATTAGAAATTACTTATTTTGAATATTAAAAACATTTAACAAATAATTTTAATATTCAAAATATTCGAAATAATTAATCACTACTTTGTGGCCTGAATATTCAATTATTAGTATAATGTAAATTTATAATTTTTTTAAAATTTAAAATTATAATTTTTTCAAGTTCGTTGTTTGTCTCTGTAATGATAATAACTTTTTAATTATGTTTTGAATTATTATAATTATATATTTCGGATTTTTCCAAAAAAATTATCTCTTGTTAAACAAATACACGCAATGTTTTCGGTTTTGTCCCGCAAAGTCTAAAATCTGAATGATTTTGAAAAAAAGTTTAAAGGATGTGTGTTCGAGAGAGTCTTGTCTTATACGATCGTGTGATAGCTCGGTATCACATAGGGGTCAATTGATATCTTTATTTTTACCCTTTTATTCTACTTTCGAGTAGCGCAGACATCTGAAATTCACAACTCTCGTTGTGCAATATTTTATTTCTATGCGAATCTCGCGTTAACAGAATGACTATCGGAAAGTACATTTATATAACTTATCGCGCGAATATAAGAACCTTGAAGAATCATCTAGTCGCGTATCTCGATTGTGTACAAACACGTACACAATACGATCTTATAGATCTTTATTGTGTGCTATTAAATACAAATTACTCAACACACACACGCGCGAAGCGTTTCTTTTCCACATACGTGTCACCGATGTCGTCATCACCGCCGAGTTTCTCATTTGTGAGAAACTTTAATGTCAATTGCAAAATATCCCCTAATAACCTAATTTATTGTTAAATAAATTATTATTATTATTATTTATGCAATATTAGCCTAATATACTCCCAATGTCTCGCCAATGAATTAATTGCGCTGATTACCGTTTCTGACAAAAACGGTAATCGTTAGCGAAATGATAAGAATTGAAATCTCGTACAATTTGATGCAATTTTTCCAGATAGCACAGAGAGTCCGAAAAAAATTCTTTTTTTATTCCCGGTTTAGGAAATCAATTCCTACTTTCGTTCCATTTCTGTTCTAAAAGTATTTCTCTGACCCGCATAAAAATATACTATTAGTGTAATAAGTAAATTCGAATAACGTAATAGTGGTGGAGAAAATTTCATTAAAATTACACTGAAATTTTATTGTGAAAATAAATATTATTGATTAACATCATATTTCAGAGGATACACGACAAAATTATAATAAAAAAGTTTCCTTTATGAATTCTAGAACTAATTTGAAATATGATGTTAATCAATAATATTTATTTTCACAATAAAATTTCAGTGTAATTTTAATGAAATTTTCTCCACCATATTCGAATTTACTTATTGCACTAGTAGTATATTTTTATGTGGGGAGAGTCTCAATTAAAAGATTTCACTTTATCATCACCTATTTTATAAGCTCTTTTTCAGATTCAAAGGGTATTCTTTATTTAATCTTTTTCTATTTCTTAATTTTGTATAAGAATAAATCATACTTTGGTTTTTATGGAAATTAGGAATATTAATTAATATATTAAGAAATTAGAAATAAATATTAATTACTTTTATTAAAGGTACTTATATACAAATATTGCATAATATAAATATTTGTATATCTTTTTGAATTCTTTTTGAGTTCATGTCTAACAAATTATACTAATTTATATAATAATTTAAAACGAAAATTTTGTTCACATTTAAATGGATTATAATAGTTGTGCCCCATCTGGATGGTACAGAAATCAAATGTCAATGCTCTGCCATATGCGAAAAATAAAGAAAAAGAAAGAACGTTAACCACTAAACATGTAAGGATCATCATCATCTGAATTCAGCGAAATTAAACCGGCGTTTCGTGACGAGTCAAAAATAATTCGCTGACATGGCACAAGCGGATGTAAACATACGAAATTAAATACGAATCCATGTCAACAATATAATACTGAACGGCTGACGTGTCGCTGACTGCTGTTGTCATCTTTAATTTCTTTGTGATAAGGGCGATAACGTTTATCGCTTGGAAAAATGTGCCGCTTCACATTACGTAGAAATCGACTATAAAAAAAATTTGCTGTTAATTCCTATTGTGAACTGAAAATTTTAGAATGTTGAAAATCGATGTCAAGAGTTCGATGAAACTTCTTCCGATTAATCCAATTGTTGATTAATTTAATCGATATTATTGGCTTCCGCAAATTTTCTAAACTTATGATAATTCACCTATCCTAATCTAATCTCTCATTTCATCATTTACTTAACAAGATAATACACTTGATGTAATGTTTAATCATCGATTAAGTTAATTGGTGATTAATAGGATTTTTGCAAAATTATTTACAAAATTTCTGGCTACAATTTATCGTTCCCAACCTAATTTTTTTTTCTACTACCAAATCAAAAATTAATAATTCTATCCACACATTAACAGTATAAAATTACAAATATATTTGATAATAAATTATTATATTGATTAAATTAATAGGTGAAATTAATTTGATCACTAAAATTGCTCGCAATAAAATTTCTGTGTAATACTCGTTGTTTCCAGTCTAATCTTTCTTTCTCTCTCTCTCTGTGTAAAGTAGAAATTAAAAATTAATCGAGAAATAATAAATTTAACTCTCCGCGTTAATATTACAAATGCTATTTATTGATCTTCTTTCCTTTCAATGACACTCGATCTTCTTCATCGATTAGTTTCGTCAGAAACTTTAAAACATATTTTTATACTGCATTTTGCAGCTTCTTTATAACGTGATGATAAAACACATAAATGCTACTTGATAATTATCATTAGATCGGCGATTAACTTGTCAACGGTGATAAGAATGACGGCTCGCATCGGATAATTCATCTATTTTTGTTACGCTGCATTTAGATATAGCGCGAAATTACAATGCGAGCCAACTGATAATGAATTTCAGACAATGGATTCGAGCGTTCCTACAAAGGCATATTAGTTAAGTGGACAATATGATGCATCGCCATTAGACGAGAAATAACCGCTGAATCATGTTGTTAAATTCTCTCTTACTGCTATTAATTCACAAAAGGTTTTAGTACAAGGATATAAATACGATTGGATGAAAATAGTTTTGAATTCAGAGAACTTCATCGAGAAACACAATAGTGTTCTCGGCTTTTCGCGCCAAATTGTAACAATATAAGTTGTAATATTGTGCGCAATGTCTTCATAATTCTTCTTAATATAAAAAAAAATTGTTAAGTAGTGTAAGGGGGAAGTAACGGAAACGTAAACAAAACTCTTAAGAAGCGAAAATTGGAATATAGAACGTAAAGGAATCGTCAACTAAACGTTAAAGAAACATAAATAAAGCATAGATAAGTTCTTCGGCAAGCACGAGCACAATGTTCGTTGAATGTAAACGGAGCATCGTCGAGTTCTTAGACGAACGTGAATAAAATTTGATCGAGGTTCCTCTCTGGTAAGCAAATGATAATATTTTAAAATATATTTCATTTATTCGGTAAACATCTAAAAAAAACTATTATGCTTTTATCTCGGAGCCCTTATAGAGGCTCGCTTCAAAAAAATTATTTCATTAGAACACAACTTTGATGCTTCGACAAGCTTTATATTTTCATCAGGATATTATATAAGCAAAATGGAACACTATTATTTTCTTATGAATGTTTATATAATTCATTACTTGAAGGTAACTATACAAATAACGAAAACAAATAAATTACTGATTAACTATCAAGCCGACAGTCATCTTACAATTCCGCGTAAAACAGAAAAAAATTGAAACTGAAGATATTTTTAATTCAGATAAGTCATGTGTATATTATACATATACCAAGTAGCTATTTCGCTCTATTGTGCAAGAAGTAACTAATCAAAATCTTAGAATTAAACATTTGTTTTTTAGACGTTAATAATTTCAGACATCTATCACGATCTGTTAAATTCAATTATCTGGTACATACATGTATATACAAAGAGTTTTATATATAAAAAAAATATAATCATACATAATAATTAAATAAAACGTATTTTTTTACTGCTTTATATATATATATATACAGGATGTCCCGTAAAGACCCGAACAACGTTTAAGTGGAGATTCCTGAGATCATTTTGAGACGAAAATTCTAATACCAAAATGTTGAGGCTATAATAACTTTTGAATTATATTTGGTTAAAAATAGTGTGTAATTCGAAAACTATTATAGCCTCGATATTTTCGTATTAGGATTTTCATCTTAAAATGTTCAAAAGAATCCAGAAATAATAATAGAGGCTATAAAAGTAAAATGGTTTTTTACTTATAAGCATTTAAAGTTAGCTTATAATTCAAAAAATTGTTGTAGCCTCGACGTTTTCGTATTAGGATTTTCTTCTCAAAATAATCTCAGGAATCTTCCCTTAAACATTGTTCGGATCTTTACGGGACACCCTGATATATATATATATATATATTTATGAACATATAGCAAAGTATGGTAATCGTGGCATAAAGAGTTACTGCCCTCTGTGCCAAAGATTCGGATTCAAATCGGTATACATATGTTGGATTTTATTTGATCGTTACTTCTCGGAAGGCAATAGCAAACTAGAAGACAATGGTAAACTCAGAAGACAATCAAAAATATCTTTACTATGACAACCTCATCAATGGATATGCAAAAGAGGGCATTATGTCTTTGAAAGACAACGGACTTGAAAGAGCTTATTTTCAATTATACATAATTTGAATAATTTGAATTTATTTACACCGTTATTTACAATAGTAATTTTACAAGTAGTAATATATAAAGCTTCTTTTGCTTAATATATATATTAAAAATCATATAACAAAAATACATTCTTCTAAAACGTTCACTTATATTAATTTTCCATTTTTTAATAGGTAACTTTCTTTATATTAGAAAATAATCATAATTTGTTAGTTAAATGCAATATGTTTTAAAGCTTTCTTATCTATTATATCTATTATAGCTATTTTTAGAATTTCATAGTTGTGTGTAGTCACCGGGAACTAGGATCATCAAAAAATTTTGTACCGAAATCCCTCAAAGTATTTATTTTAGAAAATCTAATTTCTGTACATATATATATATATATATAGATATAGAACGTTTTGAGAGGCACAAATCAAAATCCAAGAAGAACTGTATGAAAACGATTTGAAAATTTAAATAAAGTTTCCTTCGAATTATTATTTTTCTTTACTGCATTCTTCCAAATATTATATGTTAAACTTATAAGAAGCGATACCTGATATAATGTTATTTAATTATTACATTAAAATTGTTTTTAATTTTACATTTTATTCGGATATATTTTGTTATTAAGGATTATTATGTAGTTCGTTTTTTATTCACGGAATCTGAATTAAGTATGGAAAAATAATGTTGGAAATAAAGAACTGTTGTGCGTGTTAAATGAACTGTACAGTGAGTATGTCTTTCAATAAGAAATAGTTACAAAAGAAAATCACTCCACTTTTTACTAAGAATTTGTAAGTAATAATCGAAAAAGGAGTTTGCTTACATTTTCTAAAGTTATCCTCTCTCAGCAGTTTTAATAGAAGATAATAACTTTATCTTCAAGATATTTAAGAGATGTAAAAATCATCTTTAAAAAATTTTTTTTCTCTTTGTTATAGCAACAAAGAAATTAGGCTACCGAACTTAAGTTGATAAACATTCTTGAAAATTTTCTATTTGACTTGATAAGTTTGTGTGCTACTGAATAAAAGTGTTAATAACTCTGGATCAGTTAAATTTCTCTTATATTTTTGTACCATCTCTTGAATTTTTAGACGTCTTCGTACATGTGGTGGATGATAACTGAAACATAAATATATGCATTTATACATTTTATCTAAAATAAAAAGCGCACATAATATCTCAATATAAACACGATATAATTAATCAGATACAAAAGTATTGTAATTAAAAATGATTTTTTTTATTATTAATTTTATTACCTATCGTTATCAAGCCTTTTTCTACGTCCCATATTAAGAGCCGTTTGTCTAACCAGATTCCCCAAGACTCTTCTTGACACTACCATGCCATCGATTAAAGGCGTTGCTAAATTGATTCTAGAAACCGGTCCCTGCAATCTGACTCGCATCAATCCGTTAGCAAGAGCTTGAAGAAAGATAACGTGCACATCGGTTGCTTGCAGCATCTTCGATTGTTCCAGTCCGGTGTAAGTGGAAGGTAGCAGATCGCCTATAATCCAATAAGATCGTTTCATTTGTTATAAAGAAAATACATACAAGATAATAATGTGTGTAGCAATAAAATATACAATAAAAAGTTCAGATTAATTAATTAATGCGAGTTTCGGGATGCTTATCGAAAGAAGAGCGAACGAACCAATCGGGAACTGGATATGATCCTCCAGACTTTCCAACCACACGACCATGATCTTTGTATTAGTTTGAGATGGCACGGCTTGCTTCATTGTTCTCCTGGGCCTGATGGGATCTGCACTCGAAGAATTCGTCGGACCTGCTCCCGGTAAGCTCGACGGCTGTTTCTCCAGGTCGAGCGACATCGTTCTAGAATTCTGTGTTGCGTTTTGCGATGTTCCGCTGCTGCGAGTATCCGTGCTTTCACTGATACTCCGCTCAAACCACACTGCAATAAAACATGTAAACTGTGCTTTTAAGAAGTCAATCATATTCCTTTATAATATACATAATAATCTAAATCAAATATATAATAGAAAAGTAATTAAAAAAGGACATATATTTCCAAATTTGTTTTTTTTATTATTATTCTCTTCAAGATTTACCTTGTCCACTGGTGCTAATATCGCTGTTGTAACTACTTTCCTCTAACGAATCCGAGTTGGCCATGAGATACGATTGCGTAGGCACAACAAACGCAATTTCCGAACTCACGTCTGCCCAGTACAGCACGTGAGTGTCACCGTTGTAAAGAGCTCCACCGTGATTGCTGTGAGCTGGCTGTGGCACGTTCACTTGCGCTGTTACTCTCCATGAAGTCGATACATGACCCGTCCAACCTGCGTGAGCGGATACGCAAACGGGCCAACCGAGAGAGTTTAAGAATTCCAAGAAATTTGGCGACACATTCTCGTCATGCAGCTGTGAACACAAGATGTATAACATGATGTTGCGTCGAATTGAATAAAAATTTAATATATTGTAGATCTTGTTGTCCTGATAAAAAGTCTCCACAGGCACGACTCTCTACATGCAACTGTTTGACCTATACTTTTTTTTAAGAAAATTTACAACACAGGATAAACAATGGTGATAATATATATTCTAAAATTTTAAACTATGATAAACTAAAAGAAAAAAAACCAATATCTTACCACGTTTGATAATATTTCAGAGGCAGACTTTTGACCTGCTTTTATATAAAAGATATGAACAGTGTCGCACGTTCGCGGACTAATATTGTCTAGAGTCTCCAACTCCGTACAGAATCCAGGGATGGTTGGATCTAGTGCGATTAGCCCGCTATTTCTGGATTCGTCATTCTCCTTAGGCTCCATATTTAAGAAACCAAAATGGCTCAGGAATAAACGAGCCGTTTGGAATTCGTGACAAACCTGAGGTGGTACACATTCATCGGTTTTGTCTTCTGCAGCTTTTACGTTACCGTTGTCATGCTTCGACTCGAGCGTTATCTGACGTTCTAAGAGCTGCGCAAGGATCTGATGCTCGTCTCTCACCGCGTCATTATCACTCATAACTGCCTCGAGACTTGGTATCGATTCATCCCTGTCGTGAAGATTAAATATCATTTGGATTAGAGTACTGTGTAAAACGCGATTTCAAATTCTAGATGTATTAGGACATTCGCAATTAATTCAAATAATTGAGCGTTTGGTACATCATATAATCACAATTTTATCATTTGTGTTTCAATAATTTCACATTTCCATTTCAGTAATTTCAGTGTGTTTCAGTAATAGTTTTATATATTCTAATTTATTTTTATTTTACTTTAAATATTCAAATCTAAATATTTATAGCCTTAAGTTAAACTAAATCAAGTTCTTACTTTAAGATCTGTAAGCATTCACTTACACTTTACAGTGAGGAATACGATCAACATTATCTGGGAAGAATCTTGGTTTATAATCCGTTCGCGGTGCGGCTTCAGCCAACGGCAGGGGTCGTCCGGGATTGCTGTTTATACTTCTGATGCTGGATCGATGACGCGGTAAATGACGGAGCTGCATCGTCCACGCGTGTCTACCGAATGGCCCGCGGATTAAAACTGTCACGGTCGGCTGAGGATCCTGATCGTTTCCCAATGGTTCCTCTAACAGCGCTAACACAATCGCGTTTTCGGATACAAAGTAACGAAATCTCTCGACGGCCGCTTGTCGTGCTACACGTCCGCCAATCCAGCTATTGCAATGCCGAAGCAGAGATACCTCATCCAACAATGACGAGAGCGATTGTGCTCCGCAGGCGCTTGGAAAATAGCCAACCTACGATGAGAAAAACAATTATAAATTTGACAAAATTAAGAAAAAATAACTTCTACAATCTCAGGTTGAAAATTCTTAAGAACCGTTGAAATCTCAGATGAGAAAGCTTTAATATAAACCTCTAGAGATTCAAATATTGCAATTTAAAAAATTTTGGATTGCTGCGCACTCATGTTTTTTTTGTATCTTGTGTATTTTAGTGAACAAACCTGTTCCAACAGAATAGTAAGAAGAGCATCAGCGGCGTCTCTTTGACACGCCAAGCTCAACGACTTCCAATACTGTGGTCAAGCAGTCTTTGTCCTTCAATAAAAAAAAGAATCAATGTATACATATATAGAATTTCAATTAAAATTATATAATTTTGTAGTATACAACTTTAAAAAATTATCTACCTGTAATAATTGCGGATGAGCGGTCAGCCAAGTTGTCAGACAACTGAATGCCGCAACGATAGACGAATGGAGGTCCTTAGAGTGCGCCGGGGGTGGTCGCCAACATTGATATGAAATATAATCGCACAACCATTTTACTGCTCTCTTGCATTCTAGAGCATCTGCAACACAGCATTATCGATGCGCACTTGTTTCAAGAACGTTCAATGTTAAAACTGACAATTTCTATCTGAGAACAATATCGAACCTGTGAGTCTCCTTGCTGCATGCAGAATTATTTGAAATAAAATGCAGATAAGTATCTATTTCTTGCATATAAAAATATATGTACGTAACAAAATTTAAATCTTAATATGACGAAGTTATATTGATGTTACTACCTGTTTCGCGAATGCGTGTACGTGCTAATCCCGACAGCATCTCGAGTGCTGCTAGAGAAATATTCAAGTCGGTCTTCCACGATGAAATCAAACGATGACACACCAAGTACGTTGCTCGCACAAAAAGAGCGTGGGCCGAATCTACAAAAATGTTTCTCTCATTTAATCCTTGAGTCTATAAGAAATAATATTACCGGCCTGTGTTTTGTACAAATAAATACATATACAATAAAATTGATAATATAACAAATGCTAAGTGCGTATATACATATATGTATATATGTATAGAAAGAGACAGAAAGAGGAAAAAGGAAGAGAGAACAAGTAAATCTTTTCTTAAGAATTGTAAACGTAACAATATAAACATAATAAAACGATAAGCGGAAATGAAATTCGCATTCTACGAATGTTTTCGAATGCGATTTTTATGAAATGTATGTAGCAAGATAAAACAGTATATGTGTATTTACCGAACGCAATGCATTCCTCTTGAAGAGTTGCAATGTCAGAGGCATCACCAATTGATCGCTGATCACTGGATATACTTATTTGACTGGCCGAATCGCTGGTGACTATATTAAGCGATGATAAGACAGGACAATGGCGAAATGCACAACAGAACACAACTCGTAATAACAATAAAAAATTAACATTTCATATATAAGCATGTGTAAAGCTGATACGATGAGAGGTGACATTAAGCATTGTAATCCAAATATTTGCGTCCTCATACTAACTCCCATTCATAAAGCTATCGATAAATATTAATAAAAAGTCGCTGTATTAAATGAAGTAGCAGTATACTGGGACATTGCTATTTTACTGGCAGAGAAACCAGTCATGATCATAGGCAACTTATGGAGAGAAGTTTGACTTTACCTTGTGAAATAAATGAGATTAATTATTAAATTAATTTATTACTTTATACATAAAATCATTCTTTACCGTATTATTTTTTTATAAAATAGCAATAAAACAATGTTTTATACTGTTTCGCCACGTGATGTATAAAAAAATAATGCCTATGATCATAAGATCACTTAATAAAATTTGGACACAAACAGGAATTATTACTAAGTAACTCAGAACAGTGCACCTAACCGAATGCAAGCTGATATCGTTTAGTAGTATCGAAAACGAACCTGAAGATAACAAATTGGTTGTCGAATCACTAGCTACGGTGTCAGGTTGTGTGACTTGCTCTACTTCTTCAGCTGCTGCAGAATCTTGTACACTCAGCAACAAAGCTCCTAAAAAGAATTATTTTTACACGACAAATTATTTTTACATTTATTTCCATTTATGTAAAATTATATTTTGCCACTATTCATAAATTCAATTTTCTACTTTTCAATAAAATGTTGATTTTGTTGAGAACTTCTGTTTAAGAAATATTTATTTAACAGAAAATTAATTTTCTCAAAGAAATGAAAACTTCGATCAAGAATAATGTTGAGAATTCAATAACAAATACATATTGCAAAGCGAAAGTTAAATCACCAGTAATTGATAGCAATCTTTCAATTTTATTAACTTACCCAACAGCATGTGTGTATTTTGAGGATCAGTCTCCACTTGTAAAGCGTTTATGAGTAAATTCATGAGTCTTGATTTTAACTGTACAAATGTTACGGGACTTTTCTCGGAGAAATTTGTGCCTGGGAATACTGGAAGCTCCTTAATAGCGAGATTCTGTAATTCATATATATCTTTCTTCAATTACATGATTACCGTTCATATCGCGTATTGAATTTACAACAACGCAATTTATTAAATATTAATAAATTTTGCCAAAGAATTTAGAAGAGAGATTATTACATTTTCATGCATATGTTTTCACCTGAAAATGCAGAGGCAGTGTTAACATCGATATTAGCAAATGTATCGAGGCCCTTCTCAAGTCCGGCTTTGATACTATATTAGATTTCAGCTTTAAATCTTTCTCCGGTAGAACCACCTCCAGAGCGGATAAAACGGCTGGCACTAAGACTTGAATACCGTTCAAATCGAGGCGGAACAGATCAGCTGAATTCAACAGAATACTCGCCAATGTTTCACCACATTCGCGAGACTGAAAATAAATTAAGTGCACGTTACATCTATCTCTTTCTAAGTCTATCAAGAAATATATGCTACAACCGATACCTCGTCGACTTTGAGGCCGTGATACATCGCCTGATAAAATCTAGCTAGGTACACGGGTAAGATCTCTTCGCCTGTTTTCTTGGCGCAAAAAATACGGCACAGGGCCCCCAATGCCTCCGCTCTACCGGACTCATAGCGATCTATACAGAGCGTCGACGGTACATCGCTCACGGTTTCCTGCAATGAGCTCGGCCCATCTACGAGTACCGAAGACGGACGTTTGGAAGCACCCGACGGTTCTACACATGAAATGATCATGGTATATAAAATATAATTACATGTGAAATCTTCTCTTATTTCACGCACACGCAAGTAGGACTGAGTAATCATTTAAAATACCAAATATAAAATACTTAAAAAAATGTATTTAAAATGCAAAATGTTTTTCAAATGCACTTTATATGTAAAATGAGTAAATAGATATTTTAAGTAGTTTTCAAATACAGAATAGTTTCCCCTATATACATTTTAATATACATTTTTTTAAGTATTTTACATTTAGCATTTTAAATAGAATTACATTTTAAATGGCATTTTAAATGCAAAAATACCCAGTCTTGTACACAAGTGACACTTACGTGGTAAATTCTGCGACCAACCCTCGGTACCGATAAACGCAGCCTCGAACAACCATTCCCCGAAGAGATGCAGTATACTGTTACATTTGGGTCGTCCTGGAGCTAAAGGAGGTCTAATATCCTGGCCTAACGAAGTCATGGCTGTAAATCACACGATCGTGCGACTTAATGGATATATTTTTGTTGTATAACTATGAACTTATAGAAATGATATTACATGCTGTACTTGAAGCAGACGATGGTCCGGAATTGGATATTAACATCGGTGGTGTACTAGACACACGACTTGTCGTCAATCCAATTAATGATGCTTTTGGAATTCCTGCCAAATGTTTATATGTTTCTACAAGATGTTTTATAATAGCAACAAGTGAATTATCTAAGTTCAAGTTCTAATAATTAACAATTTTTGTATGCATGTAATCAAAACAAAATTTAATAATATGGAATAAAGTATAGCGTATAGTATAAAAGGAAAACTATGATACAAAATGAGAGTGCTATACAGTATCTGTGACTTTAGATCTTAGCAGAGAGGAATTAACTGATTGAGTACAATATCCTATTGGCAAGAGAGAAAGTATTGCACTGAGATACCCTTAGTAACTGCAGAAGGAGTGACACTGAAACTTTTGGCAAGTCTGCGTTGAGTTGGGGGTGTGGGGGAAGGCTGAGGCTGATCCCTGCCGCTCGACCTGTCCCATCCAACACCCCCGCTGCTGATGCCACTATTTCCTGTAACGTTGGATACACAACATTCCTCCCAACAGCATGCCTGTGAAACTCCTAAAACATTTGCGACAATGTGCAACCGCCACCATTGCAGATACAGGTGAACAAGCCAACAAGTGTGCGAGTGTCAGATAGAAACAAATTTCAGGAGATATACATTTGACATCTTCTTGCCTCTGAGATAAGTTACAGCGCGAGTCTTTTTGAGATAGATCACGAATTTAACGTTTGATAACACTAAAAGTACCAAGCGATCACTATATATTCATCATTTCTATTTTTTAAATTGATATACTTTTTGTATAAAATATAGTGTTCCGAAATTTTTTGACTTTTTAATAATTATGTCTTTCTATTAATAACATTGATTTTTTATCACTTTCTTTATTTCATAGTAATTTATTTGCTTGGTCCTTTTAGTGAATAAGAAACGTTGGTACTTTTGTGTTAAATCACAGCCTTGACTCACCAAGGAAAGCATCGACCTGACCCGCTATGCCTTTTATCGCTTTCAGAAATATTTGCGGCAAGCTTTGCAAACATGGGTGCTGGCATGGATCTATAACATTAGGACTGGCAATAGCGTATTGCAGAAACGCTTGCGTCTGCGAGACAACAGCGGGTCTACACAAGTCTACGGGATCACCGATAGTACGCAATAATCTGTACCATGCCTGTGCCACTGCTTCATCTGACATAGTGGGTGGTACTAGCTGCGTGTCTTCGTCACCTATTAACAGAGTTTTGTTTATCGTAATACCGCAAACAATGTGCAAATTTGGTTAACGCATATATTAAAGGCACATACTTATTTTCAATTCGGGAAACATTGGCCCGTACATAATATGCAGCAGCCTCGCTGTAAGAGCGAGACACACGCGGTTCCACTGCTCTACTAAAGCCAATCTGTGACGCCATCGCAGGCAAGATTCTCGTAATGTTCGCCATAACGGAGGTGAAGGAAAGCTACGTTCACAGGAGACCAACCAGACCTAAAAGAATTTCGTTTTATAAGTTTATGAGCGTCAATATCATTAAGGATGAATTACATATAATTTTTACCAAAATGAAAAATATTAAAAATTTTTCTATATTGTTATTTGAGAGTAATACAAAAAGTTTGGTGGTGATTTAGAATCAGAATCATAAATTATTTCAATAAATGACATGTTTTAAAAAAATAATTAAAATAAAATGAGTAAATTTTCATTTAAACTATAAAATTATATTGTTAAATATTATATAAGTATTGACCTGATTGAACTGTTTCATGTATATATAACATATATTTTTATATATAATTGAAAAGAATAAATTTCCAATACCAGTCACTTTTTGCAAAAACTATATACCTGGATACATCCTTACTTAATTAGAATATTTCTGTACCTCTAGCAATACACCGAGCACTCTCTCACACAATTGTTCTCCTGCATCTTCTCTAGTTGCTGGTGGTGCTAATAGTGCGTCGTTAATACCGATGAGAAATAATAGTAAGCTCTCCCATGTTTCTCTCTCCAGAGTTGCAGGACCTCTCGCAATTTGCTGCAAAGTTCTAAGTACTCGATGACACAGGACAGCTTGCCGATTTATAGTGTCTGTACCTAGAAACATTCATCGAAGGTGATATATTATAGATATTGATATAAGTATTCATTTTGCAAATTGATATAAATGTCTTCAGAGAAAAGTAATAAGTATATCATGGATTACCTAGATCCTGATACAGAAAAGGCCAGACTTTGGGAAAGAAAATGGACCTTATCAAAAGGATCAGATAGTAAATTTAACATGTAAAGAAAACCAAATCTTGTCTTACCTTCCCCTTTCCTTGGAACAAATAAATTGTGAAAATGACTTATGATCTTTCTGGCATAGAAGTTTGGGTCATCCACAATTGGTCTGGGCACAGAGATCTTTGGTGTTGAGTATAGAGCAGACAGCCACTCGCAGTATATGTTCACGCAATCTCTGACGGTGTCGTGCTCGGCCAGCGGCAACGACAAACCAAAACATATCACCTCCATGCACCATTGCACCTCCCTGTCGGTGGAGAGGGGACTAGGCTCTCCTGCCTGGGTGATGCCCAGGTTTGCAGCGAGTTGGCGAACTATGGATAGTGCGACCTCTTTGCCTGCACCAGGGGGAAATTTTTCCAGTACGCTCTGGCTTTCCTCCGAGCCTTGTTGGATCAGAGTGCTCAATGAGGCCCATTCTGAATACATCCCTCCTTGGGAATCCTAAAAACACGTAAAAACATTGAGCTTCTCCCATGCAATGAAAACCAAAGACACTAAATAGATGGTAATTAAGATTAAATATGGAATAAATAATTATTTGCGCGACGTCTTCTACGCCTGATTCCTATTGTCCTTAGTCTTTTCAATTTCTTTCGAAATAAATAATATAAATAGCTCAAAATAGATGTAATTAAACGGAAGATATAATAACCTTGAGATTAACTCTGTTGAATACGCCTAAATTCATAGATTATTACACGCCTATACGCCCTATATTTAAGAAGCAGTTTGGCCGAAGATAAACACTGGAGTTAACAGAGTCGTTAATAACGTTTATGACACAAGATAGAAGAAAAATTTCACTTCACGTGGTCCATCTCTCAGCTGACATCCGTCGTCGGGTCGTTGATCGATCTCTTTGACATCTCGCACGTTTGACAGCTGACTTTGACAGTGGCTTCGACAGTTATCAACCTACAGATATAACAGACGTGTCGGTATATGATAAATATGCATTAATCCGCTGGGTCATAGTAACAATCTGATTTATCGGCCCAATGTAATTTAAATGGGATCGATAAATCAGACTCTACTTTGATCCATTAATGATTAATGTACTCTACTACCTACTACTGATGAAGCGGATGAATTATGTACCACATGTCGATATCAAATCTCGTAGGGTAATGTCCACGTTTTTCTGGTTCTTTTCCATACTATTAATAGGTTAGACAAGGACGCGAAGGGTACTGTTTCTTTGTGCGTTTTTGTCGTACGACAAATGTATACAGAACAAAAAAATCCTTGGATCTCTCTATCTCATAGCCAATCATAACAGGCTTGAAAAATTTGTCGTACGACAAAAACGCACAAATGAAATATCACCCTTACGATCAAAGTTGATTATTCATCCTTGTTTAATCCACGTGATAGTACGGAAAAGAACCACAAAAACGTGGACATTACCTTACGAGGTTTGGTACACGAAAAAGGCCGGGATGTCCACCCACTCTCAGGTTTCTCTCTGGAAATATAATAGGATGAGTCTTTTAATTCATCGATTGATCAATCGCGTGAAGCGCAAATACATCACAGAGTTCTTTTATTCATCATTAAATACATCTATTCGCCTTGCTTACACTTTTTTACACTTTTTACACTTAAAATGAGATATATATTTAGCCCTGAAAAGAGAGAAAGCGAACTGAGTGCAAAAAGTGCAAGCCACGCAACAGACCTATTGTTGCGTCAATATGACGGAAGTGCACATGGTACACGATATCAAGCATGATGATTGGTGATTCATCTTTTGAACTGAGAGTCGATTGTGTATCTTGAAATGAGGTGAAAATTCCAAAAGTGAGCAAATTCACTAGTTATTAACCAATTAAATTATGAATATTCTAGTGAATTTGCTCACTTTTGTAGTTTTCACCTCATTTCGAGATACACAATCGACCCTCTGTACTTATATACATGTCCCTTCGTGCACTTTCATACACTAAACTTCTACAACAACTAATGCCCGTATTCATAGTCAGACCTTATACTTAAAGCCCGTATCAGACTACCGACTCTGCAGGCCGACCCGACTACCAACTCTGAGGGTGAAATCACACGGTGCGGAAAAAGACTGCGGAATAGAGAATGCGTCATTGAAGCAACCAATCAACGCTATTCCGATTAGCGCTGAATAGCGTTGATTGGTTGCTTCAATGACGCATTCTCTATTACGCAGTCTTTTTCCGCACCGTGTGATTTCACCCTTAATCTCAGGCAGTGTCTTAAGATGCTAATACGACTTTCTGATTGGTTCATGCACTAGCTTAAGTCCGGATCTACAATAAGTATTTAACCCCGGATCTACAATAGGTGTTTTAAGCCTTAAGCCGTAAGAAATTAACCAATTACAGTCGAATCCGAGGGAAATAATCGACTATGATTCGCCCATTTCTTATGGCTTAAGGCTTAAGGGCTGCCGCAAACAAAATTCCGTAACTGTATGCGTAAGGTGTAAACTTAAGCCGATGAGCCAATCAGGATATTGCTTTAGGTCTACATAATCTAACGGAAATGGAAATAACAGTAAACTTATCCATAATCTCACAATAAAGCGAATTTCAACCGGTTGAAACTCGCCTTATGGATAAGTTTATTGCTATTTTTATTTCCGTTAGATTACGTAGATCTAAAGCAGTATCCTGATTGGCTCATCGGCTTAAGTCCATGTCTTAAGGTTACTATTATCCCGAACCTACAATAGGATTTTAAGCCTTAAGCCATAAGAAATAGACGAATCACAGTCGATTATTCCCCTCGGATTCGACTGTAATTGGTCAATTTCTTACGGCTTAAGTCTTAAAACACCTATTGTAGATACGGACTTAATCAGAGACTGACCATAAGGATTTCGTCAAATTTCTCCAAGAGAGAAATTCTATCTCACTTTTCCATCAATAGCGGTGTGTATACATCATGCATAGTCTATATATTTTTAATTCTAACTGAATATGCCAATCAGATGCAAGCGCTCACTGAGCGCTCACTGAGCGGTTGTAGTACTGAATGCACCCAATGGTCGCGTTCAGCAAACTCAACTGTTGCGGAGCGGATCAGTGAGCTCTCGCTGCTATTGGATAATCTAAAAGAATACACCAATAGCAGCGAGCGCTCACGGATCCGCTCCACAACAGTTGAGTCTGCTGAACGCGACCCA